ATCACATCCCTGCCAAGGAGGACATGAGAAATCCATTTGGTAAGAGTTTATGTCTACAAGAGAGTTTTATGGAGGTCTTCCTGTCTGGCAATATTTACAGCATCATCATGGAAGGTCAGAAATGACACAAAAATAAAAGCAATCCCTGCCCTGGAGGAGCTTCCATTCTAGAATGTCATTTCTGTCCTTCCATTACATGTATGCTGACCCAGTGGGATCCAAGAATGATTCAGACCCAAGGAAGGGCAATGCGGTATGGTGCAAATAGAGTCAATGGATATAGGTTCAAATCCCAGCTCTGTCACTGGCTATCTATGTGATGGCTGGCAAGTCACTGAACCACCATTTCTACAACTTGGACTCTGTTGTCTCTTAAGTATTTCTATGTCTAAATTCATGAACTATGATTTTTTTTCTTTCAATTCAACATTTAGAGGAGTTGAAAGTGAGAAATTTTGCCATAGTCTATAACTTGGTCAGGAAATGAAAACAAAACAAAGAAATAAAAGCAATTCTAGGGGCATCTTTTAATGTCTTTCAATTCAATTCCACTAGTTTATTCTGAGTTCATCAAGTGTACCTACCACTGTACTAAGGCCTTTGGAGCTCCTGAGGTGCAACTTTCAAGGGTCATCCAACTAGTAAGTGTCTGAGGACAGATTTGAACTCACAAAGATGAGTCTTTGTGATTCCAAACCCAGTAGTCTATCTACTGCACCACCTAGCTTCCCATTAACAGCTCACGTTGATGTAAAAGGACCTGGGTTCGAATCTCATCTCATCCCTACCACTCACAGACTCTGTGAGCTTGTGGAAATCACTTAACATCTTGGGTCTCTGTTTCCTCATGTGTAAGAGGTTCCATCAGATGGTCTCTGTGAGCTTCTCTAACTCTGAATCTGTGGTCTGTGGTCCTATGATTGCTCCCACAAAGAAAGACATACCTGAGAAAAATTCAATTCCCAATAAGGGTTCGTCTCTCTTAGAACTATGGCATTGATTGTGTGACATGGGAGACTCTGGCACAGGACCACCCAGCATGGTGTGCCCATATCAGAGAAGGCGCTGTGCCCTAGGAGCAAAGCAGATTGAAGGAGCTCAAATGAAACTTGAGATGCGAAAAATTAGAGAATCCACCCCAAGTATTCACACAGACCAGTTGTGCCCACCCTGTGGCAGAGCCTTCCGAGCTCGTATTGGTCTGATCAGCCACAGTCGGGCACCCTGTAACTTGACTGCAGCATGGTGATGGCATTTTGGGCCTCTTCCAGCACCAAGGACAACAACCAACCAACCAGTGAAAAACACAGAAGTTCCGTGATTGTCTTATCACAGGAAGGATTCCTTATTTCTGACCTTGGTACCTGGGGCCGAGATTTCCCTTCTTTCTCCTCTCCTAGATCCAATATATATGTTCTGAAAGCCGCATTCATTCTGTTTTTATTTGCCCATGTCTCTGTCCTTGGTAATTTCATGGGAACTGAGACGAAATAATTTCATGGTTTTAGGGAAATTTCTCCCACCAATTCAGGGCAGCACTTAGAATCTCCCAGGATCACACAGCCAAGATGTGTTAGAAGGTTAGATTTGAACCCCAGCCTTCTTGACTCCACTGCCAGATCTCTGACCTCTACTTCACACTGCTTTATGCCAGCAAGGAATCCACAGGCCTCCTTCCCTATGCGCAGGGACGATAATAGGTCCAGGCTTAGCTAGGGGGACAGGTATGAATTGCTGTGAGCTAAATGCCTTTTAAACTGAACCATAGAAATGTTACCTGTACCATTATTATTACTGAAGCGCAGCTTTACAGCTGTAAGGATCCTCAAAGGGCATGTAACCCAATTACTCTCATTGTATAGATGAGAAAACAGACAGAGCAAGGTGAGTCTTAAAGTGAGCTAGAGATTGCAAGAGGCAGAAAAACAATCAACCAATGACTATTTATTAAGCAGCTTGTATGTGCCAGGCAGGGAGTAGCTAGGTGGTGCAGTGGATAGAGTACTGGGCTTGGAATCATAAAGATACTTTTGTAAATTCAAATTTGGCCTCAAACACTTACTAGCTGGGTGACCCTGGGCAAGTCACCTAACGCTATGTGTCTCAGTTTCTTCATCTGTAAAATGAGCTGGAGAAGGAAATGGAAAACCACTAGCTCGGTGTGTGTGACCCTGGACAAGTCACTTCACCCTGTTTGCCTCAGTTTCCTCATCTGTAAAATGAGCTGGAGAAGGAAATAGAAAACCACTCCAGGATCTTTGCCAAGAAAACCCCAAATGGAATCAGGAAGAGTAAACAACAATACATGCCAGGCATTATGCTAAGCCCCAGAAACCAATCCTTAAATCCTATCTCAGGCACTACTTCCTCCAAGAAACTTTCTCCAGACCCTGCAACTGAATGTCTTCCCTACCTCCTCACATTGCTTTAGAAGACTTCATCTGGATCTGTCCTTTATCCCCACCATATTCTATCATGTATAGTATATAAAGTGTTTCCTCCCTGTTAGAGTATAATCTTCTTGAAGGTAGCAATTGTGCCATTTTACCATTTTTATATCCCTAAAACATACCCCCTGCAGGTTGCTACCATGATAGGCGCTGAGTTGAATGGACTTGTTTGACCTTGTCAAGGCAAGAAGCAAAATGAAGTAGTGAAAAGAATGCTGGACTTTGAGTCAGAGGGCAAGGGTTTGTATCTCAGCTTTGCCACTTAGCAACATTGTGTTCTTGGTCAAGTAACTGACTCTCTCTGGGTCTCAACTTCCTCATCTCTTAAATAAGGGGATTCCTATATGATCAAGAGTTCTTAACCTGAAGCTCATGGGCTCCCAAGTGGTAAATCTTTATTTTAATAAGTCTTTGATTTCCTTTGTAATCCTATGTGGTTTATTTTATACATTTAAGAATATTATTCAGACCAAAGAAAGAACTATGGAAGTCGAATCGCTATCACTTATTTTTACCTTCTGTTGAGTTTTATTTCATCTTTCTGATGGTTCCTCCTATTGGTTTTAATTTTTACTTACAACTTCACTAATGTGAAAATATGTTTCATGAGTATGTAAATGTAAAGCCTATATCAGATTGTGCGCCATCTTGGGGAGGGTGGGGGGAAGGAAGGGGGAGAAAAATTTTCAATTCAAAAGCATATGGAAGTGATTGTTGATAAATCAAAATACATTAATAAAATTTTATTAAAAATGAAAAAAAAAGAATATTATTCAGAGCAGGGCTCCATAGACTCCAACAAACTGCCAGAAAGGTCCTTAACACAGAAAAAGATTAAGTATCCCTACCAAAGATGATCCCTAAAGTATGTCTAATCAGCAGGTTCACTAGGAACTGTACCAGCTTCTATTGGCATTACAATAAACTTTTCCATTTGACTGGAAGATGGTTTGAGTTTGTGAATTCATTCCAGGTAGACACCACACTGTACCTTAACATTTTGGGGGTCCCAGCAATCCCCAACCACATCAAAATTTTGTCACCTAGAAAGAGGGCCTTTCCTAAGAAACTGTGAGTTGAGATTTTGACTCTCTCCTCAACTTCAGGCTTCTGATTAGAGCCTTTGATCATCTCTGGGGCCTACCATGTAAGAACATGATGCCCCATCATGAGGAATGGAAACATCAGAATTTGATCAGCACATACGATGACTATTTCAATGGGCATGCCTACAACCCTGCCTTGCCACCAACCCATGGTTGGAATGAGCAGAAACTGGTGTGGCTGCCAGAGAAGTCAGACTTTCCCCTTCTTGCTCCCCCTACCCTTTCTTCAACTTTGAAGAAATTGCAAGGGTCTACTAAGAGTGACTCCATGAACAGTGTTTACACCTTGTCTTATGTAAGACACCCAGTTCCTCCTCCCCACCTTCAGTGAGCCATCTCACCCATCCTTTTGACAACTGCTATTTTCCCTGGATAAAACCAGACCAAGGAATCATAGCATCTTCGAGTTCCAAGGACAGCAAATGAAGGAAGCAGGAATGTTGGCAGCCTCCTTCCCCTATTGGCACACTTGAATAGCTATAACATATCAGGAGGATGTACTGCAGAAAGATCTATGAGACACCTACAATATTTGGCCTATTTCTTTGGAAGACAGAAGCACCTCTTTCCTCCAAATTGCAGGACACTCTTTACTTGTTTTCCACAATTAAATGTGTATGGAGCTATTTTTTTTAAGTGTGTTTAGTCCTTGAATTCTAGTTGGGTCCAGGTTGAAGTTGTTGGATGAAATAGGATGTCTGGGCAGATGTGACTCAATCAAGTGTTTTTTGAGTACCTACTATGTTCCAGGTCCTGTACTGGGCACAAAAAGAATGAAACCATCTCTACTCTTGAGAAACTTTCATTCTAATGGGGGGGGGGAATAAGCATATGCAGCCATATGAGCATACTTATGTATATGTGTGTGCATATATATAGATATATATGGTATATATATAGATATATAGATAGATTTATATATACACATTTACACTTAATAAATATAAGGAGAATAAATACAAATCAATGTGCTGTTGTTTAATCAACTCTCATGAGCTCATGCACCATGGCACACCAATGTTGTCAATGGGGTTTTCTTGGCAAAGATACTGGAGTGGTTTGCATTCCCTTCTCCAGTGATTAAGGCAAACAGAGGTTAAATGACATGCTCAGGGTCACACAGCTAGTGAGTTTCTAATTTCAAATTTGAACTCAGGTCTTCTTGACTCCAAGTCCGGCACTCTATCCACTGCACCTGATATTGATAGGCAGTCTCTCTCTCTCTCTCTCTCTCTTCTCTCTCTCTCTCCTCTCTCTCTCTCTCTCCTCCGTATATATGTATGCATGACATATACATGTAATATATATGCATATACATATATACACATACATATATGTGGGTATACATACATATATGGTATGAGTGTATATGTGTACATATATTTACTGAATAAATACAAAGAGAATAAAAACAAATCAATCAGCATTTATTAAATGCCTACTATGTACTGGACACTGTCCTAGGCATTGGAGATAAGACAAAAGTGAAACAATTTCTGCCTTCAAAGGGTTTATGTTCTAACAGGAGAGAATAACTGTATATATATACATTTGGAATAAATATAAAGAGCATCCATAAAAAAGAAATAAGCATTTATTAAGCATGTATTACTATCAGGCACTGGGAATACAAAGGCAAAATGAAATAATTCCTGCCTCACACGGCTTACATTCTCACAGTAGAAACAACTGGTACACATTTAAATAAATACAGAGTAAAAGTAAAAAGCATAAATACAAGTAAAAATAAATAAGCATTTATTAAATGCCAATTGTGCACCATGCACTGTACCAGGTACTGGGATTCAAAGACAAAACAATGCCTGCCCTCAAAGAGTTTACATTCTAAAAAAACGACGAACTCATACTTTGCAAAGTCAAGATTTTGAAGTTCCTAAAATTGTTCTAGATGAAGGGAACAGAGGAAAAATGGCAGGCTGCAGATCACAGGGACTAGCTAAAGCCTTGATGGGCAGGGACCTACCTCTTTTATCTTCTCCCTGAAGCACCCAGGATTTGCTGGAAAAAGTACTTGGCAAGAAAAACCACAAGGGAAGCCTGCCCTTTCCCCTTCCTTCCCCAGTGAAGTCATTTGAGGTTTGCCTAACTGGGCAAGGTTACAGTTTGTTGAATGAATGATTAACTGACTATATCCTGCTCAGTCCCTGGCTCAAGGGTCTCAAACATTTTCAGTCCTTAGTGTTTGTCTCATTTGTGTCAGGCCTCCAGGTCCAGGAATATGTGTTGTCCCTCAGCTCTCTTTCTCTCATGAAGCCGCCCAGATGTCTAGGAGGTCAAGATCCATCCAAGTAACTGGAAAACAAAATAGGATGTGTGAATAAATACAATGCTTTACAATGGTCAGACTGTTTTACAACCATTATCATTTGATCCTCAAAACAACCCTCTGAGGTGGCTACTATAGGTATTTATCATACATACGTTGTATTTGTTGTTTTTCAGTCCAGTCTGGTTATAATCCCATTTGGGGTTTTCTTGCCAAAGATACTGTAGTGGCTTATCATTTCCTTCTCCAGTTCATTTTATAGATGAGGAAACTGAGGCAAACTGGGTTAAGTAATTTGCCCAAGGTCATACAGCTAGTCACATACACATATATATGGTATAATATATATTATATATAGGATATAATATCTCATATGAGGGTATAATATATCATATATATCTTATATGCAGGATATATATAGGAGATATAGATATATAGGAGATATACATATAGGAGATGGATGTGTATTGTGTATATATATATATATATGTATACACACATACATATATTATTTGTTTATGCAAAATGAAGCTGATAAAGGTTAGATCTTTTGTTCATGGTCTTCATAGCTAATAAATGCAGAAGTAGGATTTGATCTCAGGTCTCCCTGACTCTAGATTCAGCACTCTACTATATCACACCTGGGAGCTCAGGAAGGGAGAATTCTGAGGGGTGGGGGCCATCAGAGAAGGCTTCATGGAGGAGGGGGAATTTAAGCTGGGCCTTGAGGAATGGGTAGGAAGAAATGCTTAGAGAGAGGAGGACTAGGGAGGGCAGGCTGAACAGAAAATAAAAAGAGAAAGAGAGGCATTTGGAAGGTTATTTGTGTAAAATAAGACTTCAGGCATCTTGGTGCCCAGAATTAGAATGAGCTTCAAACATTTACTAGATGTGTGACTTTGGGTAAGTCATAAGGACCATAGCTCTAGAGCTGGAAAGGACCTCAGAGACCACGCCCAATTTCCTCATTCTACAGTTGAGGAAACTGAGGCCTAGAAAGGTTAAATGACTAGCCTGGGCTCAAGCAAGTAGATGGTACTTGAACTCAGGGGCTCCTCTGACTTCACAAGGACTGTTGTTCCCCAGGTATCTGGCTGCCCCTCACTTGACCTCTCAGACCCTCAGTTTCCCCAACCTTAAAATAAGGATTGTGGTATCTTCACCTAGATCAAGGCTCATCTCAAAGAAAGAGCTTTTATCTCCTGGAAAGTGTCTTAATGCCCTACAGAAATGGAAGTAATTATGATTGCTAACCTCACACTGCACTCTTTTTCGGGGGGGAGGGGGGTGAGTCAAGCGTTTGTAGTTGGGGGTGGAGGTAAGGAGGATTAGGTAGGGTAGGGGCAGAGGTAGGAGAGCACCCTAGAATACTGGAACTGTGTTGTAGGGTGTCGCTGGGGTTTGGGAGGGAGGTGGGTTCTTGGCTATCTACGAGTTAAAATCCCCTTAGCTGGGGCTTGTTTCCCTTCTGGGCCCATAAGCTCTCTTTCTCTCTCCCCTCCCCTCCTCTTCTGTCCCCCAGTGACCTAGGGAAGCCCACGATTGATTAAATCACTCTAAGGTCACGGAATAGAGAGGTAATTTTTTTCCCTGCCCCGGGCAGCCCTGGTCTCTGCCCTTTTCCTGCCGGCTCCACGGATCCTCCTTCCCCATTGTCCCCTGCCTCAGGCAGGTAATGATTTAACATCCACCCAAGCTAGACCGGCTGATTGGCGGCGGGAGCGCAGTGCTCCTGGACCCTGCCCCCTCTCCGAACCCTGCCCCCCTTTCCGAACCTGAACCTGAGGTTCAGGCAGCCCAGACAGCGGGAGAGAGTGGAAGAGGAGAGGGGAGGGGGAAGCGGAGGAGGTTGAGAAGAATGAGAGAAAGGGGAAGGGGAGGAGGAGAAAAAGGAAAGCTGAGAGAGGAGGAGGGGGTACGGAGTACTAGAGGAGGAGGGAGAGGGAGGAAGAGAAGGGGGATGGGGTGAAGGAGAGGGAGAAAGAGGGAGGAGGAGGGGGAGGACGGGGGAGAGGGAGAAGAGGAGGAGGGAAGGAAGAAGAAGAGGAGGAGAGAGGAAGGGGAACATGGGAAGGAGGAGGGAGGAAAGGGGGAGAATGGGAAGGAGGAGGAAGAGGAGGAGGAGGAGATCCACTGGAAGGCAGGCCCAGAAATCTGCTTTCTGCAGATCTTCTCCAGAGAGAGAAGGCAAGGCTGGGACTTTGGCAAGCATGTTAGCCGCATCAGGGACTTCCGAGCTGAGGAGCTTTGAAGGCTCCCTCCTTCATAGGGTTCCCACCTGCGGAGGGTGAGGGTATGCCAGGGTAACCTAGCTCGGAAGCCAGAGACATCTGTGTATAGACGTACATATGCACATGCACACAGAGACATGCACATGCGCGCGCTAACACACACACATACACGCGTTCACCTGCTCGCAGTCGCGTGCATAGACACCACACACCGACTCATATTCACATTCTGAACAGACTCATTCAGCTTACTCTGAAACCAGACAGAACTTCACAGAACACCACGAACACGAGCACACTCATTCGCAGAAACCATCTAGAAATATACTGACGCCAGAGACATACAAAATACACATGCAGATACACTCACACTAGTGCACACTTTCGGAAAGCAGAGAAACTTAAAGAGACCACAGAGAAACATGAACACGCTGGTAGATAAACATAATCAGGGAAAATATGCGCCCAACGCACACACACCGCTGCACTTGAACAGGTCCATACACACACCTAGGTGTCACTCATGTTCACACATGCACACAGGCAATACCCAGGAACATTTGGGGAGGCCAGATTGTGGTTCAGTCTTGGGCACACATCAATTATAGTGTCTGATGTCTTCTAGAGACAGAGAGGGAGAGAGAGAGAGAGAGAGAGAGAGAGAGAGAGAGAGACAGACAGAGAGAGAGAGAGAGAGAGAGAGAGAGAGAGAGAGAGAGAGAGAGAGACAGAGACAGAGAGAGACAGAGAGAGACAGAGAGAGACAGAGAGAGACAGAGAGACAGACAGAGAGAGAGAGAGGGAGGAGAGAGAGAGAGAGAGGAGTGTGTGTGTGTGTGTGTGTGTGTGTGTGTGTGTGTCCGTGTGGATATATGTGCGCCCGCGTTTGCGCGTGCTTGCCAGTCTGGAGGGTTGTCCTGCTGGCAGCACCTGCCTCACTCCCGGGGCGCCACCTCCAGCAGCAGCCCAAATATTTCCGGCCTTGCAACTCCGAGACTCAGTTCACATTCTCTGACTCTGAGCCCAGCTCCCCCCACCCGGGCTCCGGGAGAAGGGCGCAGCCTCACCTGGGTCTTGCCCAGAGGGGAAGGGTGTCACTGGAGGAGAGCTAGGTGGGCGGGGCTGGAGCTGGGCCGGGCGAACGGGAAAGTGGGCGGGCCCAGATCCCAGGGGCCACCTGCAGGAAGAATCGCTCTTGTGGCCCTGAGGCCGCGGGCAACGCGTGGGCCCCGCCCCACCAAATGCTGGGTGGCAGCTAACTCTCGAACTGCTTCCAGAACCCTCCTAGAGATGCCAGGGCTTTCCCCTCGGGGCTTAGGTGGAGAAAACTGCATGAGCTCCATTGAAGGCTAGAACAGAGTCCTCTCATGGATCTGAGAAGCATTTTGGGAGCGACTTTATGCCTTGGGCAGGTTTTCCTGGGGAGGGAGTTGGGAGGAGCATACGTTCTGAGCCGGCTCGTCCTGCAGTCTCTCCCAATTGGTCTCTCGGCTTCAGTGCCTCTCCTTGCTGGCCAGACACTGGGCTGTAAGGTGAAAAAGTGATTTGAATTGGGTGGCCTGTTCTAGCTCCGAGTCCATGACCCTGGTTCGGTTTTGCATCCTCTCCTCGTCTGCAGACTGGAACAACCCCTTAGCACCACCGCCCCTACAAGATCCCAAAGTAAAACACGTAGCCAGGAGTTGGGAGGGGTGGGGGTGGGCAGAGAGACAAAAATTAAGATAACTGTACGCCATGGTAGAAATCTAGTTTCTCCGGATCGAAATTCGTTAACCTTTTGAGCAGGAGATGTGAGCAGAGGCCTGTCTGTAGCCAGGGCTACCTGGTTCACTCACTGACAAGATTAATTGATACTAAGGAAGAGCTGATGTCTCTGGAGCTCTCTCCCAGCTCCCTTTACACTAATTCCCGACCCACACCAACTCTTTGTGGAAAGCGCTTTGCATACATAAACAACAACCTAAGGTGGGTTTTGTTGTTATGGGCGTCCAACGACATAGTGCGTTATTGTCTTATTGTTATCATGACCTGACTATCTGGAAAATCGGTTCCCCTTTGCAGGTGTAGACCACCTTCCTGGTTGCTTGGCTACTCGCTGTTCTGCCCACTTCGATGAAGTTAGGTCTTGGTCAGGCTAGGTTCCTTACATTGTGCTCCCGGAAGCTGGACTGCGGTGGTGGTGGGAGGTCTGCCCCAGGCTCTCATAACCTACCCCCAGGTGATGAGTTAGTAGGCTTTCTGCCTCTGGCATGAACCTGTGATCTTGAGCTCCAGAGCAGGTAAAATCGTGAATGACTGTCTGCTGAAGGAAAAGAGGGTGAAGAAGGGAGAGGATGAAGTCTGTCCCCTGGCTCTATCTTCTACTCCTGCTTCTGACGACTTTCCTCCCCCCACCCCTCCAGATCCCCATCTACATAAACTCACACCTCAAAATCACTCAACTGGAACGGATAAAGCGCTCAATCCCCTCGCCAGACCTCAGGACTCCCTGAGTTCTTCTGGTGACCCAAGAGGCTGCTCAGCAGGCTTCTGGGGGTCCGGGAAGACAATGGTCAGGCTGAGGTGGGGATGGCGGGACTCACAATAACTCACCGGAGTCCCAGAGTCTTCTCGATTCCAGTAAAGGCAAAGATGCACCTTACGTGAGATCTCTCTCCTCTTCGAGGAAGAGTAGGGGCAGGCGGAAAGGCGGGTGCTATTGTCTCCCCTAGTGTCCTCCACCACCACCAAGCACGTTCACGCGCGCGCGCGGACACACACACGCCACATCCTTAGGGGACTAGTCATCAATTAAAGTTACCTTCGTATATTGAAAGGGAAAGAAAGAAAGAAAGAAAGAAAGAAAGAAAGAAAGAAAGAAAGAAAGAAAGAAAGAAAGAAAGAAAAAGAAGAAAGAAGGAAGGAAGGAAGGAAGGAAGGAAGGAAGGAAGGAAGGAAGGAAGGAAGGAAGGAAGGAAGGAAGGAAAAGGAAAGGAAAGGAAGGGAGGAAGGAAGGGAGGAAGAAAGAAAGGAAGAAAACGTACTAGATTTAGTGCCAGAAGGACCTGGTTCGAATGTAATCTGTCGCTTACTCCCTGGCTAACCTCTCCCGACCTCTGTTTCCTCATCTGTAAAATGGGCGGGGGGGCTAGGTCTAGACGAACTCTCAAGTCCTTTGAAGCTCTGAATTTTTTATCTTAATCTAAATTTTCTTCTTGACTCCATTACTAAACTGTGACCTTAAGCAAGCCAGGTCTTCTCCAGGCCTCAGTTTTCTTAACTGCCAAATGGGGAACATAATTTCTGCCCTGACCTGCCCTCCTCCCCCGGGTATGGGGAGGTTTAGCTGAGGTTATGGTTGCAAGGTGCTCTGGGAGCTGAGGTGGGCTGAGTTGGACAGAAGCAGAGGCTAATGGTTCTTCCGGGTGGTCATTGTCAAGGGCGCTCAAGATATAACTTGGAGACTTGGCGGGACTTTGCTTGCAGGCACCGGAGCCTGCGCACCTGGCCCAGACCTCTGGGCTGGGGCAAGGCTTGGGAGGCTAAGATATTCCGCGCCACTGGAGAGGCATTTGGTCTCGTCTGCGATAAACAAAGAGATGCGGTATAGAACACGCTGCGTCTTGGGGGCTAAGAAAACTCCACAGGGGGAAGAGCAGAGGCGCCCAGTGGTCGTTGGTTGGCGGGCTTTGAGTGCGCTCTCGAGGAAAAGTTGGACGTGGGCTTCTACTGGGGAGGGGATACATGGGGAAGAGGAAGGAAAAGGAATAGGGAGTCAGATCTAACAACTAGTGGGGGGTCAAGAGGAGACAGCTCGCAGAAGCTCTGATCCCAGACCTATACAGTTCTACACGTGTGGATCCTTTGTGGGTTTTGTTTTTTAAACCCCTCTGTTATTAAAGACTGAGGGCACCTGGAGCCCCCTGGATAGACCCAACCCCAGGCTCTAAGAACGCAGACAAACGAAATGCTGTAAAAATAAAATAGTCCCGTCTAACTCAATTGCTTTCTGAATTGGAAAGTCACGCATTCGACTGGCTTTGGGCAGTCCACTCAATTGGAGAGGTCGATCGATCTTTGGACAAAATTTCAGTCTCAGTAACTGGCTTTTCTATTACACTTTAAGATTTGCAAAAGGCTTGGCAGTCATGACTGTGTTTGAGTCTCACAACCATGTTGTTAAATGGGTGTTACAAATATCAGCCCCATTGTACAGAGGAGGAAACTGAGGCTTGCCCACAATTATAAAGGTAGGTATCTGAGCCAGGAAGTAGACAATGGGCGCTCTCTCCATTATTACACGGTGTCTCTTCTGTAGCTCCCTCTGATCAGTCTGATCCACCCCGAAAGCTGAGCCAGGGGTTCGTTCTTGCTAAGCCCGAGAAAGGGAAGATTTTCCAGGTGTGGAGAACCAAGCCTCTTTTTTAGGGTATAAAGAAAATAGATTCGATTTGGATTCACGTTCCTTGGGGGTAGCAGCGCTATAGAAACATAACCCACAAAATGAAGGCTCACGGTGACCCAAGGGGAAGAGGTTAAAGAGCGAGCTGCGTGGACAGGATTGCGGAGTGGGTTAGGGAATGTGAGTCCGGGGCTTCACAGAGAGCTGTCCAACCTTTCTCTTCCAACTTCCTCATTCCTGGAGGCATGACTTCGTTTAAATCTCTCAAGAGAAAAATTCGAACGTGCGTCTGTTGTGTGTGCGTGTCTATGAGTGTGGGCGTGCCTGAGGTCTGCACGTAGGTGTCCTTTGCATGTGTGTAGGGTGCATGTTTATAGTGAGTGCCTGTCTACTCTATGTGTATCTACCTTCGGTGTGTAGTCACGGCATATGTGTAGTAACAACGTTTATGATATGCATACAGTTTGCTTGCGTCCATATATATCAATCTGTCAATGTGTGTCTTCGGAATAGTGTGTGTGTGTTGTTCGGGTGTATGTGTATCTGTTTATGTCAGTGGCATGTGTCTTTACTGTGCTTCTCTATGCCTGAAGTGTGTGTCTCTGTGTATGTCTGTTGCATATGTGTATGTGTGCGGTGTGTCTGCAGTGTTTCTGGGGGTGTCGTTGGTGTGTGTGACCTTATTGTGTATATGTGTATATATGTGTATTGTACAGTGTTTTTTCTGCATTCTTTGTGTTTGTAAAATGTCTGCATCTGTGTGACTCAGTCTGGGGCAGTATCTCTTCAAGGTTCTGACGGTCCGGTCCATCCTGTCCTCAGTCTCCCTCTCCCTCCCACACCATCATCCCCAAAGCGGTGGTTTCTCCACATTTGTCCCAAGCTGGACGACCCCCTCCCGGGGGAATAGGAGAAATCTCTCACTTTATGGCTTCCCTTTTTGCTGCTTACTCACTCTAACCAGACAGAATGGCAGAGCTTAACATCGTCACCTTTATTATCATCATCAATACTATCATCATCATCCCTCGGATGGGGATAAGTGGTCAAACTTTCCGTTTTCATCTGCCTAAATTCCATTCATGGCTAGTCAGTTCCTCAACCCAGTACAATTTGCACTGGGCCAGGAAGAATTTCGCCCTGGGAAGCCCCTACGGGGCGTTTTGTCTTTAGAGGGAGGGAGGAGGAGAAGCGTCCAGTCTTTACAGCCCCCCGAGGAGAGTAGATGTCAAAGGCAACGGTGCTCATTCCTTCCTTCATAGTAGATAGAGCCTTGCTTGCTTCCAGGCCCCTAAGACCCACGAGCTCCTCTGCACCTCTCCGAGGCATCTCGGGCTTTGCGGTGCTAGCCTTTAGCCTGGGGGTATGTCGCTGCGGGTCTGGCACAGGGAGTTGGAGAATGCGTCCGCACTCTGCTGCGCTCCCGGAAGAAGCTCCTGCCACGTGCCGGCCAAGCGGCTAGACCCGGAGAGCTGTTTGGGAGGGTGCGATGTCCCTCTGGCCCCCAGACTGGGTCCCTCTGGCTCCCACCTGCCCCCGTCCCCACACCACGTCCTGAGGCAGCCAGAGGGGAGCGGGAGAAAACAGGAACCAGAGAATAGAAGGGAAGGCAGCGGGCACCATCCGAGACAGCTTTGTCGGAATGTAAACTGAGCAAGGCTCGTCTCTTTCCTGTCTCTTCTTGCACCGACTGCAGGTGGGCTCCGGCGGGTGGCTTAGCACAGGTTTTCCCTGGCTCTACAAACAGCTATGTCATCCCTTCCCTTCTTTCTGGTTTCTGGGTTTCCACTTCAGCGCGAAGCCTCTAAACCGTTTGAAGGAACAAATGGACGTCTCTGTGTTTTTTTTTTTTCTCGGTCTGTATAAAAATGGTAACTACCAAACCTCTCCACTCCGGTTCGAGGGACTCTTGAAGCCATGTAAAATGAGGGTAGGCATTGACTCCTGCAGCCTAGTTACCTCCGGCGTGGCCACTAAGTCCCCACCCTCCAGGACCAGGGTTCCTTTCTTTGGCCCTCTGGGTCTTGGGATCATCAGGCTTGAAGACCCCAGCCCTGGCCAATGCCCCCCGGACAGAGTTGTCACATCTAAAAAATCTGGGGAGAGAGCACCCAAGCTCAGTGGCTGGAAATGGAAGGCAGCCGGCTCTAATTAAAAGGTCAAGGCTGCTGAGGCTCTATGCCGCCTCTCCAAGATTCGGCTAGGCTGTACATCCCCTTCCCTTGACCCCCACTCTGAGGAAAGAAGAGAAGACGATTCCTGATCTGTCCTGTCCTGTCCTCTCCTTCTCTTCTGGTTACTGGGACCACTTCGCACAGGAGATGTGCCGGGGAGACACAGAAGAGAGCTTTTCCACTCACGCACCCCCTAAACTAGCCAAGTCTTCAAAACGCTAGAGCCCTTCTTGTCGGGCAGAGCCAGACTGGGTCATGCCTGAAATGCTCATTTTGGTTCTTACCCATCAAAAAAAAAAAGTCTCCTTTAGGCAGAATTACCGTTACAAAGCTCTTGTAGAACTCGGTACACGGTGGGTATCCAGGCCCCATAGCAGGTGGACGCATTATTCTTTGGGAAGGTACTGGGGCCGGGCTGAAGCCCACGTCCTCGGTATCTCGCCTCTCGTAAATTGGTTTGTTTGCATTAAGTAGATCTGGTCAAGGAAACCTATACAGTGGCTTTAAAGAATAGTGTACTGTTGTTGGAGAGATTGTTGGGGTTTTTTTTTTGGAGGGGGACTCATACTTGGACCTCTGATCCTCCTGTCCCTTCCAGACCCTCCCCCCTCTTAAGCCCAGGCAGAGCACCTAGAAGCCGGTCTTCACAGCCGTTTGAAAGGCAACTAATTACATTCCCAAGGGAAGACGTATGTTTACCGGTTTTCCTAAGTCAGGTTTTTGCAGCCACCACATATTTATGGCTTCGTCGGGTCTGGTACCCAAGAGGAAGAGGAGAGGGAACAGAGATAGGAAAAGAGAAGAGGAAAGTTGGGGGAATCCTTCGGGGATATCGGTCTCCAACAAGCCTGGTGGGCTCTTGAACCGTAGACACTTTGGAAACCGCAATTTGGTTTCAAATTTTGGTGTCAGAGAAGCTAAAACTCTTCACTCGCTTCTTACTGTACTTCCTCACTCCCACCCAAGTCGTCCAGAACCCTAAAAGAGGAGACACCGCAACGAATTTTGGTATTGTGGAGGACGGGAAACACGTGGCGGCGTTTGCCCCACCTGCGTCCAAGCCTTTCTCCCCTGCTTCCTTTCTACCAGCAACCCTCTGCTCTCTCCTCTTTTACCTTAAAGTGAGCTGGTAACAGGACTGGAGCTCAGCCTCCTACCTTATCGGCCAGGTCGGAAGAAGACACTTCGGTTGAACTCGGTTTCCCTCGTAGATCCAGGGAAGCTGTCCCCGGACAGACTAAGCTAAAACTCAGCATTGCCTATGCCCAGGCAGCATCCCAAGGACCCATTCTGTTAAGGATTTCCCCCAAATCCCAGGAGATGGGGATCCCTTGCACTGCTTCCCTAGAAAGGCCCCCAGACTGGTGCCAAGGACCAGAAATCCAGAGTCTAAACTCATCACCAAGATTTCTCCCTCCCCAAGATTAAAGCCACACACCGTTCTGCACCTATGCACAATAGTCCCCTGGGCCTCTCAACCATCTTGACCCTGCTAAGCAAAGTTGGAGGACAGAGCCAAAGAGCTGCAGGATGCCCACTCCCCTAGATATAAGACTGTCCTTCTTTCCCTCCTTCTTCAGGAAGAGAAATCAGACAAGTGGACGGGGAGATCTGGGGCCTGGGCTACCTCTTGTCTGACTTGCCACTCTTGCTTCCTGCCCTGCTGGCCTCTTGCTTGGCCTGGCCCCGTTGGGGTCAGGGAACCCACAGATGCCTTAGACCTCTGCCCTCAAGCTGCTCCCTCTCCCTGTCTTGCTTCATTAGTATGTCCCAAGTCTGTCCCTCGGGTAAAGGGGTTTAGGCTACGCTTCCCAGGGCACCAGGACCTTGAATTCACTGGGGGGGGGGCGAAAGGGAGGTCGGAAGGTTAAACTTACTAACAGCAGGAGAGCTGGTTAGAAACGGAGCCTGACTTCTTGGATCAGCCTCGGGGGCCTCTAGTCTCAGAGCAGACAAAAAATTCTGCCCTGTGAAGCCACTTTCTTCAAGGGGGAGCCAGAGGACAGAGGCCAACCTCCAGGAATTTCCCCTTCGGTCACCCGGTTCCTCCGAAATCCCGGCCTCTTCGAGACCTGCTCACGGCGGGCCTTTACTATTTGAGAATAAAACCAAAAAGAACCAACGGCCCGGAATTTCTGGGCCCTGGGGACCGTTTTCGTTCCTCACTGGTATTGTGAGGCTGTCTTTAGGAAGGGTTATAGGGCGGGGGCCAGTTTTCCCTAAAAGAGATGACCCCCTTCCCCCACCCCTCCGGGAGCCATCTTTGCAGGGATCAGGCGGCCTTGATCATCCCAGTTCAGACAGCCCAAAATCTGGTCATCTGACCGAGGAGTTGCATCCCGCCGCAATGGAAGCCTCAAGCCTGGGGGGCAAGCAAGAGGGTTGCTCTCTCTTTACTCTCCCTACCTCTACTCTCAGCTTCTTCCTTTATGGATATTTCTTCCTCCCCATTGTCAACACTATTTACTTTTCTTTCATATGTGTGTGTGTGTGTGTGTGTGTGTGTGTGTGTGTGTGTGTGCGAGCGCGCGCGCGCGCAAGTGTGTGTGTTGGGGGGGTGGAGAGAAAACAGTATTTTTCTCTCCCCTTCTCCTTTATCACTGTCTTTCCGCTCTCCGTGGCTCCTGGGGCTTCCGCCAGGGTGAGGGTCAAAGGCAGGGCTGACAGCGAGTGAGACCGGAGGCGCTGACAGGCTTTGGGTGGGGGTAAAGGCTGCTGACATGGAGCAGAAAAAAGGTGAAGGCCGCTTAGCCCAGGCTAAGACCAGGCCCCAGAGGCCAAGTCCAAAATTAGACGCCTTAGGAAGAAGGCTTTCTCGGCTCCATACCCTCTTCCTCCACGCCTGGGGCTAGAAATCCCAGGGTCCTTTCGGGAGAAAAGCACCGAATGTGTGTGTATGCGATTACCTTTCTCCCAAAACCCCTTAGGCCAGTCCCCATTCACTCATCCTCCCCCTGAGGGCCTAATCCTGAGGGAGGATTAGGAGAAGAGGGGGCCTCTCTGCTTTCAGACCTCAGTCCCACTTGCCTTAAGGAGTGCGCTCTGTTATTTCCTCTGCCCTCCCCAGTTTCTGTACTCTCTCGGACCTGAGAGTCTAGAGATTGTTGCCTGGAGGGCAGAGTAAAGAGAGGGAAAGGAAAGGTAGAACGAACAAAAGCAAAGGCGGCCCTGGCAGTCAGTTGCCCACTCTATTAAGGCCCTCCACCCTCATTGCCCTCGAAGCCCACCCACTCCCCATCCCCCGTGCCCGGAATCTAGCGCCCAGCTATTCGTTTGCCTAGGCTGTCCTGAGCGGTCCCTGATCTGGGGGCTGACCTCCGTGGCCAGGAGTGGGGGCTTTAGTTTGACATCTATTTGAGTCTCGGCGACTAAAACTGCGCAGGTTCCGAAGGGGTAGCTGCAGCTCCTGGCACAACAAACGGGACAGCGGGGGTGGGGAATGTCCTGGTTTCTGTGGGTTTAAGGAGGACTGAGGGTGGATGGTGGGCGATGTATAAACCCGGCTGAGGCTGAAGGGAAGAGCGCCCTAAGCTGCAGTGCCTCTGTGGTGGTTCCCTTGGGAGATCGGCCTCTCCTGACCTAGGAAGCTGGGGTGAAAGGAGCTGTAGGAGGAGGAAGGCCGGGAGCCCTGAAGGCTTCTCAGACAGAAGTGTGTTCCAGACCCACTCCTTTTTATTCCCAGCTCTTTCCTGTAGGATCATTTCCAATAAGGGAATACCGGGCCAGGACATCCTTCTCCCCTGGAGGTTCTGCCCCCCCCACTCAGGCCGAGCCCCAAGCTCAGCTCCCCTAAACTGACTACCGAAGCCACCGAAGCCCATCTGAGGCAGGCGGGACCGAGCCAGGCCCTCCCACCGCCCACCACCTCCTCTCTCAGGCCGCCCGCCTCGAGCCCAGCTGGACTCTCGGCGCCTACAAGAACTAGTGACCGACAGAAGAGGAAGAAACACAATTAAGACAAATCCACCCACCTTCCTGTGGGAGCCCTCCACCTGCTGGCCTGGTGGAGGGACCCCTCTCCTTGGTTTCCTCAACTCGACCCTTGCTAGCCTTACCGGTTCCCTGCCCCAAAGGTTCCAGCTCCGAGCTTCCCTTGAGCAGGTGGGGGGGTACAGTGCTCCCCCCACATACACACTTCCCAGACTAACCCTTGCCCAGAGCTCCTCCACAGATCTGTCCTCTCCTAAACACTGCAGCCGTCCCTTACTCCCACTCCCCAGCCTGGTGCTCACCTCCGCTGGATTGCCCCAGCAGAGAAAGCCGCAAGGTCTGCGAATAGTTGTAGGAAAAAGAATGAGGGGGACTGGGGACAGGCAAGTCAGTCCCTCCCGCCTTGGTCCCAGGCCCGGCCAAGAGGCATAGGTGCTAGGGAGAGCTGGCTTCGGGGCACCTGGAATCAGGGCTGGGCGGTGTAGAAAGGTTCCAGTGTGCCGGGGGGGGCAACCAAGAGCTTTCAACTACAACCCTTTCCCACTCTACTCCACCCTAGACTTCTCTGAGCTCTGCCGATTCCTGCATCGGTTCAGTCCCTTTGGTGACCCCACCAGGTCCTCGGCGCACCAGAGGTTCTCCAGCGACTCTCGCCAATTTCCCGTTCCCGTCTCCCCTCTCCCCAAAAGACCTCCACTCGGGCCTGGGGATAGCAAGCTCAGCAGCCCGGAGACTAGCAAAACATAGTTGCTCTATTTATGTTTATAACGCTGAGGGAGGGATGGGCCAGTCCCGACTAGGGGCCACTGGGGTTGGTGAGGAAACGGGGGGACCCGGCAAGGCTTGCGGAGCCAACCGATGTTGGAAGGAGCTGATGCGGGCAGGGAGCAAACCAGAGCGGGCAGGCAGAGAAGCGGGGTTCGAACTACCCGGGTTGTGAAGGGGACGGGGTAAGACGGGGCAGGAGAGGACACAACAGGACGCCCCTCTAGTTTGGGAGTGGGTGGGAGTACAGATTCTTAGACACTCGCCGGGGGGTGGGGCGTCCTCCAAGAACCCGAGCCCTAAGAGAAGAAAGGTGGCGAAAGCCGCTGTGGAGAAAGATCATTGTAACATTTTTAATTAGGAGGGGGAAAAAATCACATTCACAAGCCCGCGTTTGCAGAAAGACAGGGGGAGGGAGAAGCTGGGGGGGCAACCGGAGTTTATTCTTCCTTCACCCCACCCCCCACCCCGCGCAAGGTCCCTGGACTAGGACGAGTCCCGGAGGAGCAAACCCCGAAGGGATCCAGTCGGGTGGCCCCATCGCTACTCAGAGTCACCTCGATCCCCGGACGGTACCTTGATCCGGTGAAAGCGCGTCCGGGCTGTGGGGCCGGCCGGGGGCAGGAGCGCGGAGAGAGGACGGAATATTCTCTTAAAGGGCCAGTCGTGAGAGGCTCCGAGGTGGTTGAGAAGGAGGCAGAGGGGGAGGGGGAGGGGGAAGAAGGGAGGAGGAAGGGGGGAGACAAGTGAGGTGAGGAAGAGGAGAGCACCCCCCCAAAAGAAAGAAAGAAAGAAAGAAGAAAATGTCCCCCCAAAGCAATCCCACCTCCAGCCCGTACTCAGCGCCTCCGCCGCCAATGATGATGATGGTGATGATGGTGATGGTGATGATGGTGAATACATTGGAAAGTTTTTTTGGCCCCGGCGAGGGGTGTCAGATTGAAGGCTCTGTGCGCATGTGCGAAGGTGTCCGGAATTGACAATGCTGGGGAGATGAAGATAGCGTGTAGCAGCTTCGGGAGTCAAGGAGGAGGAGAGGGATTCAGCCAGCCGACAACATGAGATCCAAGGCGAGGGCCAGAAAGCTAGCCAAAAGTAGGTCTCTACCGTTTCGCGCTTCCGCCCCCGGCGCTCCGGGCCCGCGCTCCCGGCCTGGCCTCCCCCTCGACCGTCCGCGCTGGACTGGGGGGTACTGCGGAGGGGGCTGGGGGGACTTCTAGAGGAGGGGGGTGTTGTGCGTACTCCCCGCAGCCCAGCGAGCTGCGAGCTCCCAGGCCACCTTGGTGGGGACTGCAGAAGGGTGGACCGGGAGGGCTGGGGGGGGGTCTCTCTTCCTCTTTCTCTGCTCTCTTTGCTCATCTCCCCACACACCCCCCGCCCTGGTTCCCTGCCGAGGATCCGGGGCACCGGAATTGTGTTGTCCCCGAAGGTTAGTCTCCCCCCGATAACCCCCCCAAAAAAACCTTCCCAGTGTCAGGCGTTCCGCCGGCTGAACTCAAGGCGCGGGGGAATGGCCGGGGAGGGAGGGGGTGAAGGGGAGGGCGAGGGGGTGGAGGGGAGAGAAAAGCGAAAGTTAACGAAAAGTTGACGAAAGGGGAGAACAACTTTTTTCCTTCCTCACTCATACACATACACACTCCCTCTCCGTTTCCCTCTCCCTCTCTCTCTCCCTCTCCCTCTTACTATCTCTCTCTCTCTCTCTCTCTCTCTCTCTCTCTCTCTCTCTCTCTCTCTCTCTCTCTCTCTCTCTCTCTCTCTCTCTCTCTCTCTCTCTCTCTCTCTCCTCTCTCTCTCTCTCTCTCTCCCCCTCTCCCTCTCCCTCTCTCTCCCCCAGTGGTTCCCAGTCCTGGTCAAATCCTATACCGGGCTTTTGAAATAGTGGGCGCTAGAGCACCGCCTTTGGCATCCAACAGACCGAAAAGGGGAGAGTTAGGGCTGAGGGGGGGGGCGGGGAAGGGAGACCGAGAAGGGAGGGAGATGCGGAGAAACAACCCTTCAACAGTTCAAGGGACAATTATTGAGGAAAGTGGGGGGGGGGTGCAGAGAACTGAATAGGAAAAAAAATGGAGACTTTTGCTTTGGGTTGAAATTTTTTGTTGTTATGTTTATTCCCAAATATAAAAAGAGTGAAGCTTGCAGAGTGAAAATTTGGCAGTTTGGGTGAAAAGGGTACGGAAATTATTTTGGGGGGTGGTGAGATTTCGATTTAGTCCTATGTATTCCTTGCTCTCTCGCTCCCTCTCACTCTCGCTCGCTCTGTGTGTGTATGTGTGTCTATGTCTGTGTCTGTCTCTGTGTCTCTGTGTGTGTGTCTGTGTCTGTGTGTTTCCATTCTTTCTCTTCTCTCTGTCCTCCCTCTCTCCAGCTTTTGCCCTCACCCCTGCCTGCCTGGAGCCAGCCGTGCTGTGAGTCCGGGAGCCTAACTAGTTCTGCTGTTGGAACTTGGGATAGAGGCTGAGAGTTGTGCTGTCAAAAGCGCCCTTACTTTCTGTTTCGCTCTGCCTTGGGGAAATGTCCCAAGATTTCAATCGGGAACCCTGCCCGCGGGTCCCTCAGTGCCCCCCCCCACCCCTCTCAGCTTAGCCCAAGTTTCCGCAGACAAGTTTTTGGCGTTTCTGTGGAGAAACCTATCTCTCTCCCTTCTCCGCCATCTCTTTAAGCCGCTCTGCTCCCTAGCCCGGAAGTTTGGGAGGCAGTTTAAACAAAGCTGGGCTCGCTATTCCTGTGTTATCAGTACATAGGCAAGTCCCCCCAGGTTTGGAAGGCCAAAGAGTGGGGAAGTAGGGCAGGTGCGAGGGGGAGAAGGGCCGGGGCCAGGTGAGTCCGGCTCCTGCAGTCTAGGCTGCGCGCCCGGTTGGGGCGAAGGAGGCCCGGAGTTCTCGCTTCGGCGCTGACGCTTTCACCAGCTGCTCTGGCCGGCTGCAGTGTCCATGGCCTCGGCTCCTTTTCCAGTTAGTCTGCCCTCCTGGAAGGGAGGCAGGTCCTTCCTGCTTTCATCTTCTCTTTTGCCCTAGCCCTAGGGTCCTGGCCCTGGCCGCTGCTTTCTCCCCCGCAGCATGGCCTTGGAGGCTGCGCGTCTCCCCCGACTGAACTCCGACCCCGTGTCTGGTGGGGACGTCCTCCGGTTTTTCTTGCTCCTTTCTTGATTCCTCCAGGGGTCTGAGAGCAGTAGGCTAAGCTCTCTGGGGCAGGGAGCCCGGAGGCTCTTGGACACGGGTTGGGAGCTCATTTGGGCGCTCTTCTTCCTGCGCTTTCTTCCTGCCTCTTTTCTCTGACAAGCTCCACTCCCTGCCCCAGGGTGGTCAGAGCGATGGGCTCCTGGATCCTCCATTTATAGGAAGCGGGCTTGGAAGAGGTCTCTGCTTTTGTAGGCACAGGGGCCGACCTGGAGGCCCAAGTGCACTGGTCCCCGAAAGCCCCTAGCCCAGCTCCCGGAGTGAGCGGCCCCGGCTGGGACGTAGCTGCAGAAGGCAGTAACTGCAGCTGTGGAAAAGACTTTGGGTTTTAAGACAATCTAATGAATGTCCCTTCTCCCTCAGACCTTATCTCTCAGTAGGGTCCTGGGGCTGCAGAATGACCCTGGTCAGCCTGAGGCTTGGCTGCAGCTGCAGCTGCAGCTGCGGCTGTTGCTGCTGCCGCCGCTGGTCCCGGCCTGGGGCTTAGCGCTGCAAGTGTCCGAAGTATAACAAGCCGCAAAGAGACGGCCTACCTAGACCGGGCCACCCCGCCCGAGGCCTGGTTTATGGCGCCTTCCCGAGCTCCCTGGAGCCACCGGGACCCTGGGGCCCTTTTCTGTGTTTTGTGACCAGTACCAGAGAAGGTGGGCTGAGGGTTTCTGACTCTGATAGAAACAAGGTGTGTGTTCTCGTGCGTTTGTGTGTGTGCGCGCGCGCGTGTTTGCGTGTGTATAATCTGCTTCTAGGGGGACATTCTCAAGATTTCTCCACCATAGGAAAACCCAGATACTCCCACAACCCAGATCCTTAAAGAGTGACTGAAAAGATGGACGAGTCAGCGAGAAGCCTACGGGGTTCTTTGGAAATATGCTGAAGGGGCAGGCAACGTCCGCCCGAGAAAGGGGGTCGGGTGTTCAGGCAGGCGGCAAAGGTCTGAGTCTGAGCACACCCTCCAAGCTGGCCGCAGCTAGCCGCTGAACCAAAGGAAGGGCGTTCTTCTCTGCTGGTAACTTTAGCCTGAGTCTCTGTCTGCTCTCCAAGGCCCGGGACAGGGGTTTCTCTTGTCTCTCTCTGCCTGCCTCCATTCTCTCCCTCCCTCCTCCCTCCCCCCCTCTCTCTCTCTCTCTCTCTCTCTCTCTCTCTCTCTCTCCTCCCCTTCCTCCCTCCAACACACACGCACACGCACACGCAAAACGCAAAGTGGAAAGTGCTGTCTTTCTTTGATGGGACCAAGGTCTGATTAAGATCAGGTGTTTCATACAAGGCAAAGCCCGCCGGTTTATGGGGTCTCTGTTGAGGGTTTCAGGGATAGGTATTGCGAACAGTAGCTCCCAGCGAAGGTTCTCCTCTCCCAGGAGTATTTCTGTGAACAAGCAGACTCCAGCCGCGTGTGCGGCTCTGTAACTGGGAATACATTACCCAGACGTACGAACACACGTACATCCCTGCATCCCGGTGCACACTAGCATAAGCAGCGTGCCAGCTCCTGGAGTCTCGGAGCATTCCCCCTGCTTCTACTCCTACCCGGACACTGGCACAGCCATTGGAGGCTCCACCTGAGCTGTGCTTGGGGCACGGAGAGAAGCAAGGTGGCAGAGGCTGAGACAGGAATGTGGAGATACTGGTGGCCGCGTTGGGTCCATACTCTACCGTAGAAATCCAATTCATTGGACACTATTTTGAGCAGATGTGGAGGTCCCCAGGGACTGGCTCTATTATCTGATTTGGAGAAGGTTGAGCTAGGTAACTGGAAAAAGGAAAGAGAGCAGCTTGCCCTCCCCATGCTCCTATTGCTTCTTCTCTCCCTCCCTCCCTCCCAGTCTGTACCGCCACTTCTTGAGCCTCGACCTGGATCCACGTTGGTGAAATTGACTGGGCAGGAGTTGGAGAGAGAAGGAACTGGGAAGCAGGGAAATGGATCACGAGTGGATGGCGACTGCCATCGTGGCAAAATTCACAGCTTTGGCAGCTGCCCGTGCAGATAGAGGAGAGTTTCTGGGCGTGTGTGCTGGGCCTGGGCCTACCCTATCCGAGTCTCCTTGACCCGGCTGACCTTTAGGACGTCTTTGGCGTCCTTAGATCTCAGTTTCCCTTAAGGGTTTTCCAAAACGCCACCTCAGCCCCAATTCCTTTCTCCAGGAGAGATAATTGGGAAAGTTTTCTTTTATTGTCATTATTTTTATTATTATTTTAAGTGAGGGCTCCTATTTGTAGCAACAGAAAAGTGCTGGACAACCTCAAGAGACAGTAGCATCTGCGTGCTGAGGCTGGGAGACCCACAGGAGGAAAGGGTGGGAGAGAACACAGGGGGATGGGCTCCATCAGCTGGAATTTCGTTTCTGTTTCTGAGAGGGAGACCCCATCTCCTGCAGCGCTTACTTCTTGGGAGTCTCCCTGGCTTCCAGGGCTTCCTTTTTCCCAAAGGGCGAGCTCTTGGCCCCCGAGGGTGAAAACCCTACTGAGTTCCCCCCACTTGACACCTACTCATCGCCCTGAAATCATTTAGTCCAAGTTGGAAGTTTATTTCTTCAAACTTCCAAAGCGGACCCATTTCACCCAGCTCAGAGCTGGGACTTAGATTCATCTTCCTTGTGACCTCCCAGGTGGGGATGAGGATACAGGTTGCCCACTTCTTGGGGCTGTTTCATAACTGACCTGTCCAGATCAGTCCCCAGCTCCCATTCACAACTACAATAACTCTGCCTGGTGGATCATCTATTTTGGGGTGGCTAGCGGAGGAGGAAAAGGAGGAAAGCCCCATTTTGGGGAGTCTTTCTATCCGAATCTCACTGCTATTGCTTAGTTGGGACTTCTAGTTCCCTATTCCTTGTAAGGAAAGCGGGAGTCCCAGGACTCTAGCCCGAGCCCACATTCCCATAGGGCTTTCTCTCCATCCCCAAGAGGCCTTTTCCAGACATTGCAGGCCTGGGTGGGCTCTGGGGGAAAGGGTGTCCGAGGGCTCCACTGTCTCCCCTCCTTCCTTCTCTAGGTCTTTGGGACCGGCTGGCTCCCTGGAGTTCTTCCTAAACATTCTCTTGCAGCCCTGCTTGTCCCGGAGCACTTCCTTCAAAGCTATTAGAGCCTGGGGGCCTGGGAACAGGCAGAGAGGAGAGTGAGTTGTAGACAGAGTTGGTGTGCTTGTGTACGCGGGGAACACCGGCAACGTTAGAAGACAGTTGCAGACCCATTGGGTCCCAGGAACCAGGGATGCAAAGATGTGCCTTCTCAGGGAAAGCTCTCCGACTACCTCCCTCTTAGCCAGGAACCCAGAGTTGGATTGAGTTGGGCATTTTGTTCACCCTGGAATGCTGAGGTCACACTCG